GTACCTGTAGGTTATAGACTTAGAGTAGGGCTAACGTGCGGATAAGGGTTGCCGCTTAGTTATGTGCTACGGTTAGTGTTATGATAAGGCGGCCGACAGCTAGGCGGTTGTCTGCTGCTGGCGTTAGGGGGAGAGAGTGAGGTCGATCCTCGGCGCGTTTCTTTCCTCACTATAATGAATCCGATGCGCTTGAAGCTATCGCGGTGCGCTAAAAGCCGTGGCTTGGAGGATTACCAGCTGGCGGGTCAACTTGGACACCGCTGACGATCCAGTGTGTCTTTTTGTGTAGTGTGGCTGTCTGCTGGCTGAGAGTTGGGCTCAATGGTTCCTTCTAAATGTGGCCTTTGTGGCGTTCCCTGTCGGAAGTATACCTAGCGAGACGTGCTGTTTGCTGCGCGTGTTGAGTGTTTGTCGCGCAAGCCGTCTGCGCCGTCCCGCATTTCTTGCCTTCTTGACTCTGTCTTAAAACCCATTCCCGCTGCGGGTGTGGTCAGGGAGTGGGGTAGACCCGGCGTGTTTACCTTCACTATAATCAGCCACAGTCACTGCGTGCTTCAATTCATTGAAGTACATATCGCCGAAATCGACGGTCGAACTATCGTTATGATAAGGACATGAGAATATTTATACTTCCTGAAATGTCTCGTACGCCCAGCCATTTGATTTAATCTGAACTTTCCTATTCCCATGTCCTGTTTAGGCTGACCTATAAGTCATCCTCAACACAGCAAGATCATTACTAAATTTTGCCTGGCCGATGAAAATGAGCAAAAGTTAATTCATTTAAACTGCTTTGCCAATAAAAAATACAATCGGTCTGCACTGTAGTTAGGGAAATTGAAGGGATTTTACTATGCATTTTCAGAATATACCAAATTCCTTCGCACTGCAAACGAAATATTCGACTTTTAAAATAATTTTTTAATAGGAGTGGTCGCCACAAACATCTACTCTCAAAAGTACACAAAGAGGAAATGTAAAACTGACTCAGATAATTTTCTTTCCCCTGTTGGCTAATATGTTAAAAGTATATTACTTCGCAAAGAATTCGCAGGACTTTAATGCAATGCCTTTTGTTTACAGAAATATAAAGGAACAATAAAAGTTGGTAGAGGGGCAACAGTAGTTTATGTAGTGCACATCAGTTATCCCTGGTCCTAATAAAACGTTAATTAGAGGGGTCTATGGGTGGGAATTATGATAGACAGTGTAATATACTTTAATAACTGCTATATGCATTTATATTCTATTGTATTTGAAAATCTTGTTGGTTTATATCTGTAGACGTTCCTAATCTGTATCATCGTTTAACTTATTACGCAAAAACCTGATTGTCAAATGGCAGGTTTCTTAAAATTTCTGAAAAATAGCAATGGCGGTTAGGAGCTTGTCCCCTTTAACTTACCTGAGGTCTAACTTACTGTTCTGGAGTTAGATTAGGATAGTCCGCGGCTCTAAGTGCTGCGCACACCTTCAATTAACTTACTCCCACACATTTACACGCGGAAGAACCTACACCCAGTGGCCGCGGGAAACAAATTCGAGTATATTTCTTTCCTTTTCACTTACTCCTAAAAATGTCCTTCCCTGCCTGCTCTATTTACCCGCCCCCAAAACCCTATGAAAACCGTTTCCGTAGGGCAAAATGCTATGACTAGGTGTATATGAGGTGGACCACATTAACCACTTTCGCCGAGACTAGAAATTTTAAACTTTCATCTGCTTGCAAAACGGAACGCGAAAGCATACTGGTTGAGTCACATATGACCGTGCTGTAGACGCTGTGATTCCTCCCGCTCTCTCACACTACGGACGCTGCACTATGGGTTGTGGACGCACGCGCCTCCAGCTGCCAACCTCCTCCAACGATATTACAGTTCTCGGCCTACCTTCTCAACGGCCGCAAACGCCGCGCGGACGCTCACCTCATGCGGCCACTAACACTCACGCACCTATAGGCCAAACCTAATCCGTCTGGCCAATCATCTTCAAAGCTGAATCACACAAAGACTGCGCAAGACGCTTGTGAAAATTTCCGTGCTCACACACTTCAGACGTACGCTCGTCTGACAGTCAAATTCCTCCTACCTATTATTCACTTACCCTATACAGAATACATCATCCCTCCCACTTGACGTGCCACGTATTGAATTTCCTCACAGAACCAGGCCTAAGTGTTGCAGTGGCAAGAGTCTTTTCTAATTAACTTATGCCAATGCCATAAACCTCTGTAGAATTCATATAAACTTGGCTCACTTAGCTGGTCGTCTTTCTGACAAGTACTTTTATCGTTCGCGTGTCTGGTGAGTGCTTGAGCATCATATGTAGACGGTGAAGTCCATTCTGACGAAAATCATTTAAAGGGTTATAAAACAGCCCATCAGAGAGGGGAAGTAGGCGAGGTTGAGCCTCCGAACCAGACACAGTGTACTTTTCTAGTCGCCGAGTCAACAGCAGATTTAATGTTGTAGTAAGCCAGCTCATGGGGAAACATCTAGGGTTTACGTCGCATTACTAAAAATACAACATTCTTGCCTAAAGCTTTATTCACATGTACAACGAAGCCAGATTACTTCTCCAGCACTGGACCTTGTGAACATAATTTTGTCATGCAGCCTCTTCAGTGAAAGATTCCGTCGTGTATGTACAGCACGGTTCCCTCGTATTCCCATTCGTGTGTTGCATTCAAAGTGACTCTCTTCCGACGCGTTCTGTCGTAGGGCTGTTGGTGAGGCTCGAGGGTGTGCTCCATGCTTTTGGTACTTAGCGTGCGTGCAGTTCCTACATCATTAGCTGCTGTGCGGTTGATGGCAGGGCTCGAGAGCGAGAGAGAGCCCCAAGCAAAGACTGGATGGATCAGACCCGTAACTGATCGGCAGGCGTCCACAAACCAAGGTTCTTCCATATATTTAATTTGTGCATTTTATTCTCACCAATTACTCTCCAACATGGACAACGGATTCCTGTGAAGCTCACACCTGGTGAAATCCGCAATGCTACTAAGCAAAAAACCTTTTGCCAACGCTCAGTGGTTCGAATTCGTCTGCGTAATGTCAATCCTACAACGTCAGGTTCTCAGAGGTATTCCTATCAGTGAAATGTCCGACTGTGTGCAGGTAGACTGCCAATAAAAACGTCGGTTCCTGGGAAGCGGTCGAAACCCTTATTTCCAAGTTAAGGGGAGAAAGAAGGCAACCAACGGATTAGCTTTCTGATTTTTAAAATATGTATATATACGGCGACTGTGTGTATAAAAAGATTGTACAACATAGCATCCAAAATTATTTTCTCGGGGTGTCTGTGTGTAGAAAAGGAAATGCCGGGATTGAGGCCGGTGTCCACTGCATATCCGGTCGGAAGATCTGAGCCGGTCAAACCTCCACGACAAATTCCGGATTGACAAAGGAGAACCCGGCAAACTCAGTCTGCGTCAGGTTCATGATGAAGAGCTTGTCAGTGGGCGTGAACTCGGTGGACATGTCGGTGAAGACGGGATCAAAGTTGCTGACGTCACGTTTGTCAACCTGTAAAAAAAGTAAGAAGTTTTTATGGTACGGTGCAGAACCCACAAGTTTCACATTTAAAGTACGTTAACCGGTAAAATTTAAAAGTTTTAAGTAGACTAAGTTGTGTGGGCTAAACCAAGTAACGTTGACGAAGTTGCATACTCTGAAATCGAAATGTGTAAATGTAGTGGCACGCTAGCGCCACTTCCTTCGCGTCACGTCAGACATGAGTTCACTGATTGCAAGCCTCAAGATACCTTTTTGGCAGCTGCAGACTCCGCGAGAACGCGGTGGCCAATACCACGCCCACATTCATAAGTGAACCTCAATACGTCTGATCATTCACCTTCAAGTCCAAATCAGACAGGGCCTGGCTGCGATGACCACTTACGCTCTGTTATTCCGGACACGGCGGCCTAGCAGTCGGGCTGCACTCGCCCGAAATTCGACTGCCTCCTAACCATTCTCCACTTCCTTCTGTACAGAATTAACTGTTCCCACCACTCTGGCCTCCCACTTCTTCTCACAAGGAGGTCGCAGCTGCTAGGATTTTCTCTATTAACCTTAACCCCAGGCGATATACATATCTGAAAAGTTTGAATTTTATTTAGCACATCACAAGTTTCAAAGTAGAAAGCAGACAAATGCTGGAAAAATCGATTAGGTGATGGATGGTGATGCATTTGCGTACCGACACGAACAACAACCAACCACAAAATATGTTGTGAGTCAGATTCGGCGGCAAACTTCCGAGGAATGGTCATTCAACCAGCCTCAAGGATTAGGTAACGCACCTTAGGTCATATATGTTGCGAAATATCAGATTCATTTGCTGCATTTCCATTTAAACCAGCACACATAGTTCAGCGAAGATTAAAAGAGTTTCCATATGAAATAATTTTTTGTACAGCATAGCATATGCCCAGGAATTTATGCAAAGTTTATGACGAACTGTGGCTTGCCAATACAAGCGAACAGACTTGGTAGCTCAGCATATATTTGGTTAGGTTAATTTGGTACAATGAGCGAATTTAATCATGGGAAAGCCTTTAAGAAGGGAAAACTGCCTTTTAGTTTAGTTTATTGACGGTAATAGACATTCATTTAGGCGGAACAATAGGCAGCCCGAAATCGAAGACATTTTCAATGCTACTAATAAAGGCAACAACAACGTTATTATTGTTATTTCTTGTGCTATGGAAGGACACCAATATAAGCAAAAACTGTTAACCTATTAGAGAAGTTTTTTAACTTTAGGGAATAACAACATCAGACTTCGGTTGCGGACGTGCTTTTTGTTCGACAATGTGTTTTGCGGTTTGGAGGAATTCCTAAATATGGCGCATGTGACCATCTTCCTATGAACTGATATCCAAAAAAATTAATTTTCGGTAAATATTTTACGAGATGTCTTTTTTTAAAGGTTTTTATTTAAACGTTAAACATATTCTCTATTTACGGACAACAGCTTGACAGCACTGAAAACACTCGACAATGTTTTTAGAATTTAAAGGTCAATCTGTAAGTAATTCTAATTGAATGACGGCAATATATTTAAACTATTTTGACAAAGAAAGGTTATTAATACATAAAGAGAGTGATAAGGTTATCAATTCAATTTTGTTATTTTTCTTAACAAACAATTAGTACGTCTTATGCTTCTTTTAGATAATAAATTTGGCTATAGCTGTTCATTATTATTTCTCATTTTTCGTGCATGGGTTAATGTTGGTTTGCGAGTTAGAATCAATCGTTTGAAAACTTCGCCATTTTTCAGGTCTTTTCCGTCGTACTGTAATTTTCGCTAATGTATAATAAAAAACGGATAAACTAAAAGATTAGCAGTTTTCGCAAACTCTTTGTATGCGTTCGATCATTCTTCCAACCTTTTGCAACCTCATAACGGGTTCTAAGAGTAGACAATATTGCGAAAAGCACTATGATATAAAGAAACATTAAGTTCTTTCAGTTTCCCCACAAATTAACCATATATAAGATCACTCCGTTTTGTACATAAATCCTTTAGTGACAACTTTGAACAAAATATATGCAGGAAATTACGCTATAATATAGATAGATAAGTAAGATTCTTCATTTTTAGCAGAAAAATGTTACCATTTCCTTCAAGGAAATCAAAAATGGGTTAGAATTACCCCCCCCCTTTTACGCAGACATCAATCAGCAAAAGACCTAATTGCAGCATTTTGTGCGGAGGTGCCTTATGATAAAAAGTTTGCACATTGATCTTGGGCAGCTTTATTGCCGATATTTTTGTAGGCGCTCATGTTTGTGTAAGTCTACAGATATGACATATACGACCGTCTGTATCATTAATAATATCCAAAGCGTTACTACGTCGGTAAGTGCTTTTATGCAATATCCTATTTTGACAGTTTTAATAAACCAATAGAACACGCTATAACTGCGTAGTCCTTCGCTGAAAACTACTGAAATGTTTGAAGTATTTGCCGCTACTTCAAGGACTGAGTGAAACTTGCGGCGCTCAGCCAACATTGCTGTCCGGCTTCCTTTTTCAATATCTCAAGTACATGCAACTTCACAGTGAGCGATTTAAGGACTCGCTGATCTGAAGACCCTTGACTTACGTCCGACGACATGAGAATAGGACCATCAGTTTAAACGATGTCCGCCGCGTGGCTCAGCAAGATGACCGCAACATGGGGACTTGTGCGTGGATGAGTTTTAAGTTAAAGTGGACCTGCGTTGCATCTACCGCACTCCTTCTTCCCCCACCCACCTGAGCCCGGTGTCGAGAGTGGTGGTGTTTAAGAAGAATCAGATTTAATTTGGCAAAGGATGTTTCGGCAATCACTTGGCCGTGCTCAAACAGCACAACCAACGGTTTCCACTTTTACGGAGCAGGATAAACGAATGAAGTGCAATACTTAAAAATGACCACATCGCCCCACTATGAAATCCATACTTACATGGTTGCTAAATATATGTTTGGGAAGACGTCTCTTACACCAGAAAGGGAGATTAAAGTGACCTTTTCTGGCTTATGATCTGTACTCAGCCAGCCATAGCGAACCCTAGGTGCCGCAGCATCCACAAAATGTTGATTTAAAGTCAAATCGTCTAATCATTGAGCCACGGGCTTATTGTCTGGCCAGTTTCGATCGGGTAAATTAATAATAGGTAGAAGAGGACTCATTTTCCTGTTTTGGCTCATGCTCGAGCCCGGCCAGGCATTAAAATATTGGGCACGTTCGAGCCTTAGAGCTTCTAATTACTAGGATTCGTTATGGCTGTCCGATGACAGCTAATAAACAAGCAATTGCCACATTAATCTCCTTCGAATTTAGAATTACTTTTTTTGGCATATATATTATATGCATACATCTGACCTAACTACCAAAAAATGTCAATCCCAGGAATCGCGATGCTCATTCAAATTTTTCGAATTATTTTCGCAAATATTTCTCTCAGATCTAATGTGTTATGTGCGCGAAATTAGTGAAAGATCGCTAATCCCGAATGATAAAAAATGTAACTTAGAAGACGCCAAACTTCAACAAGAAAAATCCTGGAAACCCTTTGGACTTAAAACACCCGAAGTCTTCAACGAATATCTGTTTTCCGATCTTTACAGCTGCCAACCTAAACTCCCCCGTAGGCTGCATTTGGAACTGTAAAAACCTCGTCAGTTTAGCCAGACCGATAGTCTGTCAACCGAGATGTACTCTCTTTACGTTGAATTTTGTTACCGAAACTAAATGCCTGCCAATCTTTTAGGTTGGAACGTAGATCTTACCAACATCTAGTACTCGGATATGTGAAACGGCAGACATTATGACACATCAGGAATTTTTATCTGTTATTCAACTTTCCCATTGCAAAGTTATAGTGCGAATTCATCAGAGTGTGACTAGACACGATGTAATTTTTTCAAGTTTCCTCAAATGTTTGTGAACATCATTTGGAAAGGAGGGATTCAAAGAAACGCTTTTGCCCATACCAAAGTTTGCATTTGTCTGTGTGTTCCAAAAGTTAATATACTGCATTTTTTATAAAGACAATTTCGCATTAATACGATTTTCTCACGAAGAGGCCTTTTATCAACGATGAGTATTTAATTTTAGCATGTGACGAAAATTATTAAATTGACTTAAATTTGCGACAAATTCCTAATCATTTTTATGCCGGTTCAAATGAATCGATCCATCGATAGCCACAGCTGATTCGTATTCTAGATGGCAGGGACGTAAAATCCATATCATCGTCCACATATTATTCGAAGCAACACGTAAATAAAGTCTAGATTAAACTTGAAAATAAAAAACTGAATTGGTATATGCATATATTTCTGGCGCTAAGGGTCAATGTAGCGTCTTATCGCCCTCGGTTCATACATCTCAAGCCAAAACACATTATGGCAGTTCTTTAGAAGCACACGTTGACCGACAAAGTGGATTTGGCGATATGCTGGTTAAGTATGCAGAAGCATGAACATTAGAGGTGTTTAAGCGCTTACAACGGGCGGTCGGAATGGTGGTTGCACTGCTTTCGATTCGATCAGTTCCCAATTTATCCTCCGGAAGAAGACGTGGTCGCGGATCTCCAGGCTGCCAGCAGGACTGCAACCGAGTCGAGAAGCCGGGTCCTTATTGAGCAACTATATATGTGGGAAAAAGCAAGTTTTAACAAAGGATACTATATACGGGGAGGTGTCCTAACATCCTCTAACCAAACTGACTGATTTTGTACACGCTAAAAGACCGATGCAAAAAAATTCTAAGGCGGGGAGAATATAAACAATCAATAAACACACTCAGATATATGCGAGCATACAAGAATGTTCTTCGTATGCAGGGAATGAATTAGTGCTCACTTCATTTTTAAAACTAGACTGGTTGGTATGCTTTTCTAAGTGTGCAGTGCTTAGATGAGTTTTTTAATTAAATTTGAAACTATTAACCATTGGGCGAAAGCCAGTTGTGCTCATTTTAGGAATCTATGCACAAAAAAGACAGTGAAAGCTTTCAAGGAGTTTGTGTTGCTGCGAAAATTTGTGAATTCAAAGACAAGGGTTTCTTTATTTCACTGCCATGCACGCCATCGTAAAAGAAAGTTTTCTCGATAAATAAACTATCAGTATGGAAAGGAAAATGACATGTTGTAAGCTCTCTGCAACGAGAAGCCAAGGCTGTATAAATGTTTGTGAAGTAAAATTGGTGGACCATTTTCTTGGTTTGCAGATTTTACTATTCTAACTAGGTGGTCCCTGCCATGGAATTAGGGTTCAGACATAATTATATGCTGAATAACTGTCGAAGTTTGCGTCCCAATATGTTATAATAAACAAAAAAGACCGTCTTCGAAAAGGTCTAGTTGTACTCATTAATGTTCAAGCTACGTACACCAAAACACCATTGGACGACATGAGAATTTGCGCAGTGCCTTGAGTATGGTTGCCGCTTCAATTGGTATGGTACCGAAGTGATCACTATGACCGACACTAAGAAACCGCGAGAATTCTTTAAAAACTGACACTCTAGCATGAACAGAATCAACTGCCATTTTGATCTTGATGCACAGTATGATGATCTTTGAGCACGGCTCACCAACTTGCTCCCACCTTAAAATAGAAGCTGTTTATCCTCGTTCGGCCAAGTAGAACTTCACTGATTCCATATCCTCACGGCACGTAAATCACAATCGGAACTTAAGGGCTCAATTCCCTGACTTCAGTCATTTATCATTACATGATTCACGTCGCCTATCCCCATTGACGTCAGGTTGTGCCCCCACACCCTGTATTGGGATAATCCCAACGTCCACTTTCCATTTCGTCTGATGATGAGTTGCTGTGGCTAGCCTTAAATGTCACGAGTAGAACTCGAGTTTTCTGAAAACTGTCTTTCTTTTGCATAATATTATGCTTTTAACAGGTTTCTCGTAGGATAAAGATACTCCACGACGAGGCTTTCGATCGAATAAGTCGACTAGCTTCTGAGAAATAATAGAAAAGTACTGGTTAGTATTTGAGCGCAGAAAAGGATGTCGAGACCTCTGTGTGCTGTTCTTGAACTTTCTGACTGTGTACAGGGTACATCGTGTTTAGGAGCCGAACAAAAACAACTTCTTGGAGTAGCTAAATTATCTTTAAAATCTATTTATAGTCAATAAATAAGCTGCAGTCAATCCTGAGGCTCCTCGAAATAGCAAACTGAAAGGAACCGGTAATTTAATTGGGGCACTTCGCGAAGGCCTGTCTTTGAAAAGCAAGTATGAAAAACTCGCATCGGACAATAATTCATTTATTTATTGTAGGCACAACCAGTTATAGTCAGGCCAAAGAAGGATCTACGGCCTTTGAAACGTGTTTAGCGCTTTTGAATAATGTTCATGTTCAGTAAAGGAATCGGGAGCACTCTTCACTGAAATCGATTGTTCCTAAATGGATTGACGTTTATGTAGGGAGAAGGATTACTTAGCATATGTCGATACATAATAAAACCCGATTTGACAGAAGAGTTTTCACGGTTTATCTGCTTACATGACCTGCATGAAATAATGAATAAAATGCCTCTTCTGAAGTTTGCTTTTTTAGATTACTTTTCTCAGTACATTTTTGGACTGAAATCTGAAAAACATTTTTCTCTATCCTTTAAAAACCTACACGGTCATCTAATCCCTCGTGTTCTGCCTCAAATTATCTTCTTAAACATGGATTAAATTTATTAAAGGATTAAAAAGTAGAATGGGGAGTTGGAGACTACTACTCACCCCTTTGCATATGCTCAAAGCCTCCTTAGACAGATTGCGTGGATACGATGGGGTGATTTCCAGAATTGACTGGAAGAGCTCGTCCTCATCTTCTCCCGAAAATGGCGGCTGGTTAGAAATAACATGCTCCAATTAAACTTCTAATTTAGCGGTTGATAAAGCTTGGCAGATAGGTGCAAATAAACTTCTCCGTTTGATGTAAACCGTTATCGTATAAATGCAAAGTATGCCAAATTTGGAATGGAGCATCAGATTGTTTTTTTTTCAAATACGCCCTGGGAAGGCGCATCAAAAGTGCAAGTTATGCGGAATTATGAAGTAACTACGTTAAATTAAAACGCATTCCGCGGGAAAATACAACCAGCCTTGCTTCTTTAAACGCAAAATTTCAAATAAGCAGCGTACATGCCGCAGACGGACTTTAACAGGTACCCATGATTTTCCTACCCTGGTGGACTCATCAATGGTAAGTGCGAAAGCGCTGCTCCGACCTTCTGACTATCCTAATGCCTTTTTAAACGCATAGTAACATTCGAGTTAACTTCATATAACTTGGCGGAAGAAGTTCAGAATTAACAACTTAATACAACAGCGTTATTATGCTCATTTGTTGAATTTACTACCTATGAACTCCAATTGCTCTGCCCTCTAAAGATAATTGCATGAAATACATCATTCCAGCATAGCACTTAAATAACATCAGCTCGGCCTATTCTACAAGGACTTCAACGTAGATTACAATTATTATCATTATTATCAATGTCGTGGAAAACGAACCTCTGCAAATTATCTGACGGTTAACTAAAAACACCGTTCAGTCCAATCCGCAGTGAAAAGTTCCAAGGTCATGGTGTTTTCATCATTACTCGTGAAGACGTTGCAACAAAATTAGCTTTTTATACTGTAAAGGATGGAAGCAAAAGACGAATTCAAGGCACTCGAAAACTTTGTCTGAAAGAAATCGTTTTAATACTGCGGTAACTTGAATTAAATAATTCGGTACAAACATTATCAGGCTCGGTCTGAAGGTTAACATGAGTATTTGATTTGAAATCTACCAGCCGCAGCATAATAAGCTCAGCAATATTCATTAACAACCTTCAGGAACTCTGTATTATAGAAATGGTGCATAGTTGGCAATACTGACAGCACTGCTATTAACTTTAAGCAGTATTTATAACCCTACTGAAACGTATTGCATCCACCAATTCTGTAGGATGGTAGGAGGCTCAGTTGGCCAGAGCGTTGGCTGTACTAAAACTTCCCTCTTGCTGGCATGGATTCAAATCCCGCTGAGGCCGCGTCGTTTTTACAACTGCATCAAATGAAATAGAGTTTAGGTTCAAAAGCGGTTTGCAATCCCCTCACCTACCTGACCAATGAGCATTTCATAAAGCAGCACCCCGTAAGACCACCAGTCTACGGAGGTTCCATATGGTTTGTGTTCAATTATCTGAAAGAACAAAGAGCAAATACAGATGAAATGTCGAGGAACTTCCATATAGAGAACTTAGATTTAGTATGGAATTGTGTTCTAGGATGCAAGAAGCGTGGTAGTTGGGCTGTGCCTTGTCGAAAGAAACGCAAAATTTGGATCTCCGTAACGTAGGGCAAATAAAAGTCGAAGGAGGTATCGCTCAGCCGCTGGATAGGTAAAACTATTGTTCATAAAGGGGAGTTTGATGTCATACTTGAATTTATTCACCGGAATCCATTGCCTGCAACTCCAAGGGTTGTCTACGGTCAACGGTCTAAAAATTTTACCTACAAGGCAGAATTTGCCAAGCAATCCATATGGGATCCACGGTATAAATGTTAAGGTAATCCTGTTCATACAGTTTGTTTCGTGGGTCAGACTTTGTGTGCTCAATGCTTTGCAGTAGATTGAGCTGGAAACTTGAACGAATTGCAATAAAACTCATGACTCAGGGGGTTATGGTGCTCGTTGCACTGTAGCCCTGCCCACGTTTGGTTTAGCCTCATCGAGTCTGTCAGGATTTTACGATTTTGTCTAATTAGTAATAAATATCCTGATGCCCCTTTATCCCGCTGACGTTTTATGTATGCATACTCGAATGAAATCCGATGGTTCCTTCCAGCCACAAAAATTGGTCGTACCCATCTGGGAGAATAGAAGAGGATCATTTGATGATGGAGCAATCAAAGTCTTAAAACAGTGTTGAGTATCTGTTTGGAATCATTTTGTAGTCGTTCATGCACAGAGATAAACCTAAAAGCAATGTGTCATTCGGTAGATGCCTTTATGAGCTTCAAGATCATTCTTCTCTAAAAACTTTAGTTGACACGCTAGCTTAACTCTACACATGGCAGCAGTAGCTTATT